TGCTCTGGACACAACGCCCCGAGAGCGCCCGCCGTCGCGTGTCTGCCGCCGCGTTCCGGGGCTGCCCCCAGGGCGCCCGGCGTTCCCCGAGGGCGGGCGTGTCCCGAGGTGCGGGCCGAGGACAGAGCGTGGCAGAAGAGACCGAGCGCGGGGCTGCTGCCTGTTGGGGCGCAGCCGGCGCGGGAAGCCCTGCGGGGACCGTGCGGACCCGGCTCCGGGTGCTGAACAGTTTTCGCGAACTCTCCCCCTCCGGGTTTCTTGGGGTCCAGCGCAGCCAGAGACCCCGTCGGGATCTGCCCAAGGTAAGCGGACCTAGCGGTGTCGGGCTCCTGCCCCCGATCCCAGCCTGTGGGCGGCAGCGGGCTGCGAGCAGCGGGAAATGGCAGCGGGGGCAACAGGTTCGCAGGAGGCGAGTCAGAAATGCAACAGGCGGGGCGGGTCAGGAAACTCCTAGCGCGGATGTTTCCTACGGAGAGGAGACTTGTCCAAGACTGAAACTTGGTGAGCTTCTTCCAGACCCGCGGCGGGCAGAGCCCGGCTGCTCCTTCCGTCTGGGTGTGCGCGCCCTCTGGCGGCGCCTTGCGAGGACGAAGACGAGGCTACAGGTGAGAAACTGGGGCCGCCGAGCCGCTGTTCTCTGCCCCCCACCTTGTCAAGGTTTCTCGCAGGAGAAGAGTGACCTTTGGACACCTTCTCATTCCAGAGAAGCTAGCTAAACCTTCAGCCGGAATACAGCGAGGTCCTTTCAACTCTCACTTTTTTGTGCCTGGGTCCTTTGTAAAGGAAATAAGAATGACAGCAGGACTCATCTTTGTGTTAATTGCATTTGAATAAAAACGTTTTTAGATGGCTAAAGGAAGCCTTAGTAAAAATATAAATAATATCGAGAGCTGGATCTTGTAGTTCCTTGTCATCTGCTAGCATTCTTTGGGTTCCAATTATACATTAAAAAGTATAAACATTTAAAAGTACATTGAACTAACTTAGGCAGTACTTAATGCCAGATTTTACTGTGATCCTAAAATTTCTGACCTCTTATTGTAGAATATTTAAATCATCCATTTAAGTCCACTCCCAGCATACCTGTAGCTTCAGAAAATTTCTTTTGTTTTCCCCCCAGAAAGGAGTGTCATGAAAAGAAACAGAAAAGAGACATCACCGTTGGTGAAAGGGGAGATTTCTATCCCGGTTGGTGGTTACTTCATGATTGGAAGAGAAGTACCTAGGCGGCTGAAAAGATTAGATTTTGATAGTTGTACAGATGAAGCTGATAAAAGAAGATGTGAAAATGCTTTTCTCTGTGTCATAATAGGCTGACAAGTACGTAAGCCTAAAAAGATATATGTGGACAGGAATTTCGATTTTCTTAAAACCAAGGAGGACTTTGAACTTTGATTGAGCAAGTTTTTCTCCAAAAAAATGGAAGAAGAAAAAGTTATCTCAGCAAGAAGCACTAAAGTAGATGAATAACAACCGAGGCTCCTCACTCTGACAGTGTCCATCTCTTATCCTTTTCTTCCGGCAAACACACATGCATCGACATGTGTGGTGGGCTTATCACCAGTGATCATTTCCTGTGATAGGAATGACTGCATTCGAATTGTGGAGTGCTTTTTCTCTTCTTTACAATGTGTGTTTAAAATTTTCTTGTAAGCTAGATTTATGTAAAGGAAGGAGATACTGAATTTGAAGTAATTTTTGACTATATTATTGTTCCCTGTGTGTTACGGGAAAATTGGAGGTTTTAACATCCGTGAAGTTTTTACTGGAAGCAAAACTGGACACAGCTAACCTGTGTCATCAGTTTTCTTTTTCACTACTGCATTTACTTTGAATGAAGTGAATTTCAGCTGGATTTCACAGCATATAAGATTTAGTCTTTGTTTTGGCAAGGCTGTTAATATATGTTTTATGCTAACCAGATGGGACACTCATTGAGCACCATGTTTGACATGTTTGCCTAAGGAAAGGAAATCCCCAATGGATCATGGCGTTAATGTTTACAGGACATTTTCTATTTTTAGCATTAGTGATGTTTGGTTTCTCTACTTTTGAGGAATCAGTGAGCAATTACTCTGAGTGGGCAGTTTTCACCGATGATATAGATCAGTTTAAGATGCAGAAAGTGCAAGATTTCAGACCCAATCAAAAACTGAAGAAAAGTATGCTTCATCCAAGTTTATATTTTGATGCTGGAGAAGTCCAAGCAATGAGACAAAAGTCTCGCACAAGCCATTTGCATCTTTTTAGAGCTATCAGAAGTGCAGTGACTGTTATGCTGTCCAACCCGACATACTACCTACCTCCACCCAAGCATGCTGATTTTGCTGCCAAGTGGAATGAAATTTATGGTAACAATCTGCCTCCTTTAGCCTTGTATTGTTTGTTGTGTCCAGAAGACAAAGTTGCCTTTGAATTTGTCTTGGAATACATGGACAGGATGGTTGGCTACAAAGACTGGCAAGTGGAGAATGCGCCGGGGGATGAGGTTCCAATTGGTCATTCTTTAACTGGCTTCGCCACAGCCTTTGACTTTTTATATAACTTACTAGATAATCATCGAAGACAAACGTATCTGGAAAAGATATGGGTTATTACTGAGGAAATGTATGAGTATTCCAAGGTTCGCTCGTGGGGCAAACAGCTTCTCCATAACCACCAAGCTACTAATATGATTGCATTACTCACAGGGGCATTAGTGACTGGGGTTGATAAAGGATCTACATCTAATATATGGAAGCAAGTTGTAGTGGATGTGATGGAAAAGACCATGTTTCTACTAAATCACATCGTTGATGGTTCTTTGGATGAAGGTGTGGCCTATGGAAGCTACACAGCTAAGTCAATCACACAATATGTTTTTCTGGCCCAACGCCATTTTAATATCAATAACTTGGATAATAACTGGTTAAAAATGCACTTTTGGTTCTATTATGCCACCCTTTTACCAGGCTTCCAAAGGACTGTGGGTATAGCAGATTCTAATTATAATTGGTTTTATGGTCCAGAGAGCCAACTCGTTTTCTTGGATAAGTTCATCTTAAAGAATGGAGCTGGAAATTGGTTAGCTCAACAGATTAGAAAGCACCGACCTAAAGATGGACCGATGGTTCCTTCCACTGCCCAGAGGTGGAGTACTCTTCACACTGAATACATCTGGTATGATCCCCAGCTCACCCCA